GTGGCATGCTAGACAATCAACACCATGCTCAAATGTATACCATAACTTGATTGCTGCACGCAAGAACGAATGGTTTAGGACAAGGCGAGCGGGAAGCGAAATTAATGCAACAGTCGTTGACATGTGGTTAAGTAGCACCATCCATCATGTTAAATATCAACGGTCTCAGCGGCTTTGATATGTTTAAGCTGCGGAAAATGTAAACAGCAAGTAAACAATTAACCATTGAAATGGAGTTCGCTTCGAACGGTTAATATTAAAGTAGTTCCTTCTCATTTTGTTTGAGAAACAATCACTTTGATGGATGAAATGGCTCAATTAAGAACTCTGCATTTTAACCCTTTGAAAACTCAGAAATATTCTACATTTCATACTGTCCCTCCTCGAAGGTTTTTTGTTTAGTCCAAGAATTCATTAACTTGCATGATACAATGTGTGTCAATAAAGGCGTGGGCTGGATTTATCGGGGGATCACAATCACTGTGTTACTAGGAGACACCCCTATTCCATTCCTATTGAATTTTGTACATTTAGTACTTTTCACACTTGCGAAACCACGCGGGCCCCTGCATTGCCTACCGAAGAAACGCAGATGTGACGTTAATATTATGATCACTATTTACTAGAAAAACGCGAGTCCGAGATTGTTTTTTTTTTGGGGGGGTGTAGATGGGTGTATTAGGTTCCGTCATAAATTAATTAGGAGTAGCTTCACGGATGATTTTGTCCAAAATAAACTGGCAATGTCTGGTGAGCTACGGAATACTGGATTTTCAATAACAAGATCTGAGGAGATAGCATGGTGACAACCATGACGTTACACATTATTAAAACGTTAATGAGAAACAGGCAAAAAATAATAGTGTTTTTGTCGGGAATTAGATTTTTTTTCATTGAACAGTTAGTTTATTATTATAATTGCAAGTTGTCACTAGAGTTTATTTTACCGTACATTCCTTTCCGCACCGCGAAACATCTGATCAATAAGCAATCTGACTTCCCTCTCTCCCCACGAGGAACCACCTTTGTAGGAGACACATTGACCTCAATAACCTTCCACAGGGGTGCAAAATTAAGACGATATTTCGACCATATTTTTCAACGTCGTCATTATGATTGGAACTTGATCATTGAGATGAACACAAGTCCAGTGCCAAAAACGGACGGGGGTACGATGGCTGAATATGTTAGGGGCAAATGATACAAACCGTCCCTATGCTAGATGTTTCCCTGCAAGATAATAAGTTACTCTGACAAATTATTAATGCATTTTATACCACTCCGTCTTACCTATGACCTTTAATGGAATGGAATTGAGCATAATCCTCTTGAAATATCTCGATGATCAGTTGCGTACGTGATTAGGGTAAACCAAAGTATTTTGTGAAGCAACTTAACCTGGCGCCTTTTAATTTTTTTTCTAGTTACAGCATTCAACCAATCAGGCCTCACAGTCAACAAGGGAATATATTTCGTAAGGTGTTATTTGGGAACCGGAAGAAGAGTTGCTGCAAGAATTTATGATTTGTCTTAAATATTAAGTCTTTTCATTACTATCAAAAATGAAGAGGATTTGCACACATAAGAAATTATCTACATAATGCAGGCCACACACTTTAACCGTCAAGGGTCTGCAGGTATCATCCTCCGCGGCCGGTATAGTTACTGAATAGCTACCGGTCTGTAAAGTGCCTTTAAACAGAAGAAACCTGCTCTTGACCACGTCGGGAGTAGGCTCCGGTTACCGCCACCGGAACGCACGTATTTGGCCGTGCCTCTTTAATAGGTTTGCCGTTCCACCATCGGAAATCCGTGTTCCGGGCGAGAGCCTTGGAGAAACAAAGCTCCTTGACTTACGGGAGGACAGGATCTAGACCCAGTCACGTCAAGCGCCGGAACTATCTCGTCTTTGTAAATACAGCAGTCACACCACACCTTTCGTCATATCTGGCTGGCATATAGCAGTGCATCAGGGATGATGTTATCCGTCTTTATCCCCCCATAACCGAATAAACGTGGACATTTATTTGTTTTTCTTTTCACCCAACGCCATGGCGTAAAATCTGCAGCATTGCTCAACGAGTCTACGTCAAGACGAGTTTAATGTTCCACTTGTACTCTCCCGTCGACAGGATTTTAGGTTCGAAGAGAGATGGGGGTTGGTTTGATTTGCATGTTTTGATCTGAATTAGCTTCCCAATTAAGCCGACAGAGAATTAACGTCCATGGGTGTCAGCGCTTTCAACAAAATCTCCACAAACACAGGTCCGGTCACGGCATCACATTGTGTCAGCCGAAAATAACCTTTTTTTTTCATTTCAAAAGTTAAGCTTAAAAAGCATGCGTTTGCCAGTGTCAACCCACTATCATACCCAATGTATGATAATGTTGATTGCTTCTACCATTAATTGATCAAATAAGCGATGTGTCCGTCGTTAATGTCTGATTTGCAATTTCGCTTTTCCCTACAAACATGAAATCATTAAAAGCACTGTTGTACATGGGAGAATGCCACAATAAACCAAAGTAAATTTCTGAAAGTTCAGTTGCATGAATGATAGGGTTTCTACCAAAAAAGGTCAGGCAATTACTTCCACGAATACATGAATACGTTAAGCGATGTTGAATGTTACGCTTGGTTTAAAGTATGAATCAATCGGTGTACATCACTCAGGCGTTGCAGAAAAAAAGACAGAAATAAAGCCAGAAAAATCTTTCTAAATATGTACTAATTCAAAAAAATCGAAATAAATTTTGGTAACAGTAATGTCTGTTAATTGATTGGTTCATTTTACTGACAGTTTTAGTACCGGTACAGAATGACAACACGTTCACAAGGCGAAAGCGTGACAGTGTCAGCTACTTCTTACAATAACCGTCACATTGCAGATTAAAAAAACCCAAAATAACCCCATTCAGTTTTCTGTTACATGTATTTTACAATAACTGGGCTTATTTTTATAATCTTGGCACCATAAAATTGCAGTAACAAAGAAAGAGGTACAGAGTGGAAGAATGGAAAGGACTGAAAAAAATTCAAGGAAATGAAAAGGGACACTGATGGATCAAAAAGCCGGACGATGAAACTGAAAGATCATAAAATCCAAACCGGAATGGTAAATGATGAATAAAAGCACTCGATACCTTATAACGAAATAATCCTGAAGCGATCATTTTCATACTATTGCCTTCATAGCGTTATCTTGCGATTTCTCATAAATGAGGGGAAAATTGAGTTTTACAACAGGAAAATAACAGCTTGGTAACGCGCCTGGATCGGCCTACAGTCCATGCACGTACTTGTTCTATGGATTTCCAGCAGCCTTATAAGACCACCTTGCCGATCCGCACACCCTTCTTCATTGTGTTACGAAAGAGACATTTGCAATTTTCGTTCACTGTACCAATCACTGGGGCCTCGCCCAGTAAGACGGCAAATACCCGCTGGAGGTATTGTGTTACTCCGTTATGCAACTCTTGTAATCCTCTCAAAGCATAACATTATGAAGATGTCCGTGTCATGGTCGGATCGACTGGGAGATTCTGATGAATTGATGCTGAGCAGGAAAAGGAGATCATCACTACACGAAAGTAATTTGACGCACTGAGTGTAATATCACTTACGATCATGTCGTTGATAAAATGGGTTGGTTTCCACAAACACCCTTCCACCTTTCCTTCCAGCTTGGAGTGGCGGGTACATTCATTTGTCATGACCAGTATCCAGAAAAGCTCTATTTATCAAGCAGGTCTGTGTTTTCATCGCTAGTGAGCACACGAGGGGGGATTTATAAGACGACGCGCTTCGCCATGTTGTTAAATGTTTTTCTAAGAAGCAAAAACTGAGTGCAATTCGTATGGTTTTCTTTGCTTTTGGTGTGACTCTGTGCGCGACGTCGCTTTAACGATAACGGATTCAATTGTAATAAATATCGTACGTATTTATCGCATTGTTTTAAGGTCATCTCTTGTATTTGTCCCGGATTTACTTGTTTTTATATGTTAAAAACAGAACAGATTTAGACCAAGTTCGAAATGTTCTAAAAGATATCGCTCGCGTGGCTTTGCGCGAGGAAAAAACGGGTGATAAGGTTTTCATTTTGAAAACCTTTGAAGGTCAGACGAAATTGTCTTGAAAATAATGCAATGTTTGAAGATGATACAATACAAGAATCACAAATCTGATATGATGTTCACGTCATTACGGACATTCCGTGGGACAAAGGTTCTCGCACACGTATTATTTGCTGACGTACACGCATTTCAACTGGTGTTCCCCCTTCCGGAAAGTTCGATCCTGGCTTCTTCACCAAAGCATACAGGCGGACCATACGTCACTGCCCTCCGTTTCCTTTCTCCCTGAAACCCGATGTTTGTCGACATTTGGCTAGGCGTAGGTTATTACGCAGATACAAAGCACAAAGTAACAGGAGATGAAGGAAGGCAAGGCAGACCTTTGATGAAGATTTCTTTGCATGACAATGGCATCGTCGCAACGCGTCGCCACTGGATTTAATCAACAGACTTTTGGGGACATTTTCTGCAAATTCTAGTGCGATTTTATTTATACGAAATATTTCCAATCTTGCAAATCATGGGCGCGGTACACTTCACCAGGCAGCTATGTTGTAATGCCCAAGGAAACAAAATGTGAAATTCTGTAAACTATGACCGGGATGAATGGTGGAATGTTATTTATTTCAGAAATGAACAGAGACGTTCGTTTATACGGCGAAAATAATTCCGTTTACTAAGTTCTAGTTAATTTTTTCTTGAAATTAATGATTTTTAAGATTGTGTTTTCTTTACCTATATACCATTCCAAATTGTTTCACTTGCCATATCTAATAATTTTAATAAAAGCTTCCGTCGTAATAATTACAAATATGTTGTCATGTTACCCTCCCTCCCAAAAAGGTTTTGTACAGGCCCACAACTACACAAACGCCTAAAAGAGTGCAAAGGATACTGCCCATAAAAAAAATGTGAATCCAACTCACCGATTTCCGTTAATCTCCAAAGCTAACCACTGCCAACCGAGCCAGCCCCCGCCAACATTCCACGGGAAAACACACAGCGCACTCGGAGAGCTTTCGTAATGCGAACCCGAGATGCGCACTCGCCTCCTCGCTCGTCTCTAATGTAAGCCAGCCGGCTAGCGCGCTAGGTGTGAATAGTTCCTTTCGCTCGGACTTATGGGAAGAAGATTGGTAATTGACGTCACGGATCTACATAGCAACCAGCAACTAGTGCGGCGCTGGGAAAGAAAAAAAAGAGAAAAACCCTGGCTGCATTATTGAACTCGCGCGTTCAGAAATCCTATCCATGTTCCTAACTTTCTTTATGAAATAATCTCAATATGTGTTTTGTGGATGTTTGGTTGATGCAACGAACTCCAACATAATAGGAACTGTTCTATTTGAATTAGAAAGATCAAGTACAATTCAATCCAATCTATACGCAGTAAACAAATAGTGCATAATGTGGACATACTGTTTTGCTCGCAAGTTCAATTAAAATGAGGTCATTGCTGTATGGTCTTAATCATTAGCATTGCCCGTGTCGTAACAATCAAGTTTCCCACGCGCTCTGTTATCATTTCAATTTGGCTAGCCTTCTGATAATCCAAGTACAATTGCTAATGAATTAATCATGCAAAAGAAATGCACTCAGCACATACATCCAGTTTATTTTCATTCGCATCATTGAAATAATATTTTCTCCACAATAATATTATTATTGTGAAGAAACCTTGGCTTTCGGACACAAATTCTTTTCTTCTCATTAAATATGGACGATATTGTTGAAAATAAAACTTGCAAAACCATTCCCTAAGAAACAAAAATGCCGCATTTGGAAATGCTATCATTGTAAATTGAACTGTTACTGAAATACAATACAGTGGTCCAATCCGAAATCACATTCCGCAGTTAAGCCAAAGCAATATAACACTTGTGGAATAAATCTGACATTATTTTTATCAAACAAAGTCGAGCACACTAACTGGAAATAGAAGACACTTTGCTGAAACGCTGGAACTGTTTTCACCCAGAATGGAGCGAATCCCTTTATCAAATTGAAGTGGGTATCACAGGCAGAGTTTCTTTACTAAAGGTGAATTTTCTTCGGTTACTGGGCTGCTTTTCTTTTGGGTGGCATGCCCGAGATACACATAGGTTTTGGTTCGCCGTCTTTTCCAGTCAAATGTCAAATGAATCAAAACTTTTCTGCACCTATCTACAGCGCATTGAATTTGTGAAATTTCATTGTGGATGAACTATCCTAGATAAGAAGAGTCTAACAGAAATTCACAATGCACTACATTATTAGAAGATTAACTTCTTATAATTCAATGAATTATCACCGGAGCGCGAGCGCCAACACAGAATAGTGTACCGTAGTACGTCTGCGCAGAGTGTTTTAGGCGTTGTTTTGGTTTTCTTGACGTCAATTTCTGCGCATGTATGAGGTGCAAAACGCTGCAGTAGAGCTTCGTAGACAATTTTCTTTACGTACGCCATCCTGAAAATAGTGATGATTAGCATGGGACGCAAACGCGCCACCTTAAATTTACAGCAATTTTGCCACCTGGCCTTTTGCTTTTAGCGTAAAATAGCGTACCAAAAGCGGAGTTAGACCAGCACCTTATGCAAGTTTTGACACTGTTTGTAGAAATGGTTCGACCGATCTGAATTAAAGATTCAACTTTGATTGAGGCTTAAAGAACATGCCATACGCTAATACATATCAAATGGCAATCCTCAGGCAAAATGTACTCAGACTTGTTTCCCTTCCCCATTTTTTGAAATAGGTACACGAGACTTTGTCATCACAGCTCCTTGACATTCATTTTGGAACCTTCACAACGGAGAAGCAACAAACAATTAATAGGCAGGAAACAATAGCAAGTCGCACAGCGAATACACTGCATGCATAAACAATGGACTTGATTTATTCTATTATGTGTCATAGTTTCCTTCAGACTGCCTTTAAGGTCTGATCATTTCCGGAGAAAATAAACTACTAAAACGTGTGAATGCCTCTTACAAATCATGTGCCAGATGTAACAGGGACAGGAAAAAGATGGATCGCCAAATTAGAAAATGACCCATTTCTAAAAAAAGAAAAAGAAAGAAAAGAAAATTCTGCAGATGTGTATTCACTTGCAGCATTTTTGTAAAGCAAAAGTCTTCCACATGTACATAGTTTGATGTGATTTAATAATGGAAAAACGAGACATAATATCGGTATTGGTAGTGTATGGAATTTAATCCCCATGATATGCTCACCTGTCGATAACTGGATTTTCAAATCGCACCATTCCGTGGAAATTGGTGTGTCGATACAGGGCATCACCCCCACGTTCATAAAACAAACTCATTGCAACGTACTCCTGACATGAAAATTCCACGAAGCTAAATGCTCCAACTAGAAGGAGGGGACTTTGTTTTGGCAACTAAACGGGTGAAACCCTCTTCCACTCAGTACGGTCGATTGGCAGTTTTCTTAAAAGGTAGAGTGTTTGCTGAAATAAGAAACTGACGGGTAAACGGGGTCTGACGACCTCCAATTGTCCTTTAAAAGCGCAGGCAGGAATTTTTATTTCAATTTATTTGTTACAATCAATAATCTTGTGGCAACGTGAATGTTTGATGCGACCGATACATTAAGAACTGGAAATAAAATTGAGCTCACTAACTCCAAAGTGCTCACATTTTAAAATCTGTTCTTCCTCACCAGAAGCAGCCAAGGTGAAGTACACTCCCAGTCAGACTCTTCTTTCGGGGTTCCAATTGAAACCATGTCTTTAGTAAAACACGCCTCAGATGTCCTCTGGTATAATCTTATACAAAAAGGCCACGCTATATATGCGCCTGACTTGGTGGGAAATCTCTCGATTAACTTATGCATAATTACATGCATAAGATTACACGCCTTTTTTTCTTGGTTTCCAAGTTATTTGAACAACCTTTGTGGGTGTTTTGTTCATTCTTATTTTACAACCAAGATGTAGCATATGTATTTATGATTCATGATATATCACATTACTGGATGACAGTCGGAGCATCAACTTATTTTTCCGCAAGATACTGGTCAAGAGCTTACCACAGTTTTATTACCTCGCAAAAAGATCCCGAGTTTAAATGTCCTTATAGTTATACGCGCCTCACAGAACAGTCACCGAGTTTTTCGTCGTCTGATCGCACGAGACCCAACTGGATATAAATCATCCTATTAATTTGACCTGTCTCACTGCTAAAGCAACAAATGCCATTTTGCCAGCCCTTTGTTCTCCGTTACCTTTGAAGCCAGGCTTCCAATGAACGCAGTTCTTGTTATTCTGTTTCTTGTCTTTTCTCAGGTACATTTTTGATTGAAAACACATCCTATAGCCTGACCAGAAGTACCGTACAGAAACACAGAAAATTCGCATGGATGTTTCGTGTATCAGACACAGCGTGTCGCCCTCATGTAGTTGAGTGTGTTTTGTCTTTGGTCCAAAAAAGGGGGCTTTTGTTGACGAATGGAGTTAGGAATGGTGGATACTTCACAGGCCCGCCGCGGCCAGATGCAGGCCCCACCAACTTGATTACTGTCGCGGCTGTTGGACGTTCCACGGTCTTTGCATCATCAAAGACTTCGGGAACAAATTGAATCAGCCGACGCAGGAATATTATACGCATGTTTATGCTACAACCCTGCCCACGGCGGAGAGAAATCCAGTAAGGGTAAAACAGCGCATAGGGTGAGCCGCAAGTGGGTTCCCTCATCAGGCGGGCAGAGGTAACCAACTGACCTCAAGACTAGCAATCCATGAACAGTGCCGATGGGTTAGAGAAAGGTTCGATCAAGCGTTGAATATCTGAAAGCCCCAAGGTAATGTAAACAGATGGATTTTTTCTTTTTTCTTCTTTCCCTACCTCCTCATATTTGCTCCAGCGAATTAACGCTAACCTGTTGCGAGGTGCGCATAATCCCACTTAGAAGTGCAGAAGGACCAGTGACCTATAGCTTCGGATATTGCTTACTTGGTTTGTTCATCCAATAAACCAGGACTGGATCCCCAAAAGAAATGTTTATATGAGTAAGACGGAAGGAAAACATATCAAGATGAGGGCGTAACCTTAACAACTCATTCCACGATGAAATCATTTTAAAAATGCTGAGATGTTGACGGCAGTTGATCTATGTAACGACCACCGCCATCATCCGATAGTTAACGCCGTCGATACACGCGGGTAAAGGGTGCGTGCCCTTTCCCTTCTCACAGTTCTGCAGACCGTAGGAGGAGCTATTCAATCCCAGGAAAATTACATTACAGCATTTTCTTGCAAACACGGGTATTGACAAACTGGCCAAAGCTGTCAGTGGTTATTTACAGATTGCTGTTTGAGAACCAATCTCTGTGCTTTGTGCTCATCAATCAAACAAGTGACACTCTTTTTATAAGCGTTTGGTAATGTTTATCACGGATCTCAGGTCAATACTGAGGGGGACAACCTCGCCTCGTCGTCACTGTGGAAAGTTCATCGATTGGATTTAATTAACTTTTGTTAGCCCGCCTCGCACGCCGCAGATTTTAAGGCATATATACGGACGCCCGTCCGCTACACCGTCGGCTTTAGGGACAGCTCACACTTCAGGCGAACGGGAAAGCGAAAGGCAATCGAATTTGACGTCACGAAGCATTTGCGGCAAAATTCGCTTAAGTTAATGGAAATGAGTTCAAGTTTTGAAAATCTGCGGCACGAGTAATTGATTTGACGTCACAATTTGGGGTTCGTGTTCGCTTTTGCGCAAAGTATGATCCCACTAGTCATGGGCAATTACGTTCTGCACAATTTAGACGGCATCTTTTGAAAGCTCAAGTAAACGTTCAAGTTTCAGAACACATGAATGGTTCCCCTTCAGGGTTAAAGTTTAATGGACAAAACGCAATGCGACCGAAGCTCATGAAACAAATCTAAAGATCCTCTGCTCATTAAACACCCTTTCCTGTTTACATTAAAAGAGCAAGTCATAAAAAAGAAAGAAAAGGAAAGAAAACAATTCTTTATAGAATTTTAATACACAACTCTAACAAAACAGCTGCGTATGAAATTAATACAAATTGATACAGGCTCCTTCCCCGTGGGTATAACATTTAGCTTTTCGAAAAGAATTTTCCTCAGATATTTTTTCCAGGTATAAAAGGCTCTTTTAGAAACACAAAACGCAAGAAGATTTCTTTCTAATCTCGTAAGCCAAACAGTTCAG